CCCTAGTTCTACAGCAAGTAAAGAGGTTGTTAAAAGAAAAACTTCAGACAAATTAAATTTACTTGGCCTCTACAGCAAGTAAAGAGGTTGTTAAAAGAAAAACTTCAGACAAATTAAATTTACTTGGCCTCTACAGCAAGTAAAGAGGTTGTTAAAAGAAAAACTTCAGACAAATTAAATTTAATTGAGCAAAAAATGATTCACAAATCAGGCAGAATAGATTCAGGGCGACTCCGGGACTGCGTCGTGGTTGGCTAAGGTTTAGACAGAAAAAGTAAAGTGAAATACAGAGAACGGAAATGAGGCACAGAAACAGCTGGATTGGTTGCAGCTGGGTGTTTGCTTTGACCAGGTGGCTGCCTGTAATTGGCTGAGACTCAGCTACTTGTTTCAAGAGTAGTTTACAGACTGTTTGCACATTACATCAGGTTATAGTCCAGTGTGTCTTTAGGCCAAGCTTAGTTGAACAAGGTGTTCTGTGCAAAAAGGCTTTGGGGTATTTATGTTTGGAAAAGGCTGGGTTGAACAAAAGGTAAACAGATTTTTGTTGTAGGATTTCCCGGAGGCTTTAACAAGGATTGTGGATCTTCTAGAGAGGGGACGATAAATAGAGAGGCTCACAAGTTCACCTAACCATCTTCACTGAGGATGTCAAGGGACAGGAGTTCTCATGAATAACCTATGGGAAACACTCGACCCAGTTATTGCATAGGAGAAGGGCAGGAGTCTCGGTTCTCGTGCCTTGCGATGCAATAAGATCATATGCCCCACAATTTTGGGCCATGTGGGACATGTGCAGACATTTTGAGCTTCCCTTTGAAGGTTTTCAAATGGATCTCATCTAGCTGTAGGGATTTGGTCACCCTGACACCCCTTACCCTAGATAACCTGGTTGTGAGAGAAACGAGGTACCTTCTTGGTCTGTTGCAAGGGGAGTACAAAGCTTTATCCATGTTGATTTTCAGAGCTCTGTTGCTGGATTCCTCGGGGAAGCTGGTGCCCGAGCCTCTCTTGGCTTCCCTGCAGAAATGGCTGGAGGCCTGCTCTGTGTGCTGCAGGCAAGCTGGGCTCCTTGCCCTGCTGGAGGGGAGCGCTGAGGCCCTGGGAGCTTTGTGCCTCCTCCTGTGAGGGCCTCTTTGGGAAGCTATTCTCTCTCTCTCCCTCTCTCCACCCTGGGATGTCTTAACTAAGGTGACCGTGTTGCCTCTTGCCTCCTCTGCATCCTCTGGGGTCTTTCCCACTGTGACTCCAGGGCCAGGCTCATGTGGCCTGTACATATAAGAAAGCATGTGTGTGAGTGCCCTGTGTCTGGTTATGGTAGGACAAGGATGTACGTTAAGTTCATTTCCCCCTGTGACACTATCCGGTAGTTGGGAGAGCTCATCTGAGAATGTGACTTACCAGGCAAGAAGACTTTGGCTGATTTTCTGCTGCCGCCGAGAGGGATCCTGAAATGATAAACTGGAACAGAAGACAGGGGGTTTAGAAAGAGGTCAGGGGTTAGGGCGCCCTTTCTCAGGCTTCTGTGATTCTGGTCACACATATTTTCTCACACACACTAGGTTCCTCTGCTGGGACCATCAGCTCAACATGGTAAATAGAATGCACCACATGACAGGGCAGTGAGGTGGGATGAACACAGATTTTAGGATCAAGCAGCCCTGGTTTTAAATTCTGGCTTGAAACGCATATGATTCTGGGTAAGTTATTAATTTCTCTAAGTCTTTGTTTCCTCATCTGAAAAAATGGGAAGATTTATATCTCATCCTTAAGCATCATTGTCAGGAGATAATTTATGCCCTGCATCTGACATTTAGTATTTCTTGGACATAGTAGATGCTTAATCAATGTTAGCTTATTTCTTTGTCTTTTATTTTCCCAACGTACACCTTGTTGTGTTCCAATCCTTATATTAGGACTTAGTTAGGCTTGGGGGCTCTGGAGGGAACAATGAAGGGGTTATCAGTGTCTGCTGCTTTTAGATATAAGCCCAACATCAGTCCTTGCTTCTCTACATATCTGGATGAGTGCCTTTTAGTTACTCAGATAAATTCTGTGCCTTCATGATGCTGAACATCAAGTAGGAGGGTGATGATGTAGACTGGGTGCATTTCACCTCAGCACTGGTGTCCTGCAGGCACTGTGGCTGACGGGATTACCTGCCATCCTTTGCCCAATGTCATAGCAACAGTGGTCTAAAAGGCATGAGCTATAATTTAATAAAAGCTACCATTTGCTGAGCACTACAGAAAGTGTTTTTTTTTTTTTAAACGGCTTGATGGAGTCTGGATGTGTTGTCCCCTCCAAAACTCATGTGGAAATTTGATCTCCAATGTGGCAGTGTTGGAAACTGATAGAGTCATGGGGGCGGATCCCTCATGAATGGATTAATGCTCTCTCTGGGGGAGGGGGGATTAATGAGTGAGTTCTCGCTCTATTAGTTCCCACGAGAGCTCGTTGCTTAAAAAAGACCCTGGCACCTTCTCTCTCTCTGGCTTCCTCTCTCTTGCTTCCTCTCGCCATGTGATCTGCTTGTACCTGCTGGCTGTCTGCCACTTTTCGCCATGATAGAAGCAGTCTAAGGCCCATGCCAGATGCAGCTGTCCCAGAATCATAAGCCAAATAAGCCTCTTTCCTTTATAAATTACCCAGTCTCAGGTATTTCTGTTATAGCAACACAAAATGGACTAAAACATGGCTTTCTTGAGATATGAGTATAATTCATATACCATACAATTCACCCATTTTAAATAATAAGTAGTCCAATAATACTTATAGAGTTGAACAAGCATCACCACAGTCTAAGTTTAGGACATTTTTATCACTCCCAAAAGGAACCCCATACCCACCAGCAGTCATGCTCCATTGCTCCCTTCCCGTCACCACATGAAGTGCTTTGTAAATCTTGCCTTAACTGCTCGATGGACCATCAAGCATTGTTATTATTCCCATTTTACAGATGAAAAGACTGAGGCTTAGAGATTTTAAATAACTCACCCAAGATCATCCACCAAGTAGCAGAGTTGGGAATCAAATCTAAGCAGCTTGACTTTAGCCTCTGTGTTCTTAACCCTCACCCTACACTCCCTCCCATGTGGGGTAGATGCACATGCTATGGAATAGAAATAGTTATTTACAACAAAAACTTATTCTAGTTGCTCCTTCCTTCCAAGGGGAATGCCATATTTTCTTGTAAGTGGAAAAAGAAATCTCAGTTTTACACCCTTCCGTTTATAGAGACTTGATGGGAAGGAAGGGAAGAAGGGGCTGGACTTCTGGGTTGCCAAGGGAGATGGGCATATGTTTTGGAAGAGGATGTTAATGATCTTTGGGAAATAGAAAGATAGTCCCGGAGTCAAGAAGGCAGCAAAGAGCACAACTGCACTGCAGAAAGAAGGGAGGAAGCTTGTAGGGGCTGAAGGGACCCGAGTGACCTGGTGGGAGTGGCATGGCCAGGATGGCATCTGGGAGGCCAGGGCCACCATTTGATGCTCACAAATGCTCAGAAGAATCCAACGCTCAACAGCAAGCCGTTTGTAGGGGCCATGATGTTAGTCCTCTCCACAGTCCCAAACTCCACGAAGGTCAGAGATACAGACCCAGGTGACTTGTGAGTGTTCGGGGGAGGAAAAGAGGCTGAGTTCCAAGCCTGGGTCTGTGCAGAGTGGAGGGAAGACCGCATCTTGATATGAGCCGTGGATGGGAAAAAGAGAGAGCGGGCCCTCAGAGAGAGATGCTCCCAAGAGCACGAAGCCTGCCATTTTGCAGATCTTGTGTGGGGTGGGGGTTGGGGATAGCTCTAGGCTATGTTATTTAAATTTTATGGTGACTTGGGCTGACGTCTAGGTTAC